CTTGCAAGTTTTATTATTGTGAATAGTCTTACTTCAAGAGCTCCTTGAATTTGTGTCAAGCCTTCAGCTGATCCAGCAAACAGGCTTCTTGTATCATTTAATCTCGGTTTGTTCACCTGTGAAATGGGTATTTTAACAGCTTAGTGTGATGTAATGCTTTAAAAATACACTTAGTACACCAGTATATCCTGCAAATAAATAGAATATTATGTATAGAAGACTTGCTGTTGGGTGGTAGGACAGTGGTATATGCAAATTTTCTGAACATGGCTGGTGTAGAAGGGACAGTGTAGTTGTGGTTTTCAGCATTGTGTTTTAGTCCACCAAGAAGGATAATGTACCTCATTTAAAAAGTCCTTTTGAGATCCTGCACAGACTATTGGAGCTGTGCTTTCCTTGCTGTGCCAACTCCTCACCTCAGGAGGAAGGCGAAGAACAGTTTTGCAATTAGTGGACTGGGATTTGGGAGACCGGGGTCAGACTTGCTTTGTGACCTTAGGTAGGTCACTTCCTTCATAAATCAGTATTATTACAGTAATATTTCCTGTCCTTCAGCTTAGGTATGTCTTCCATATTTGATTTGTAAACTGTTCTGACTGAGGTCTTTTCAGGTTAAGTCTGGACAGCATCTACCACAACAGAATTCTGTTGTTAGCTGAGGTCTCCAAGATGCTTCTTTAATAAAAGCAATCATAAATTCAGTGCTACTACTATATTACATCCTTCTTTTAAACATTGAGACATATGAGGTTGCACTTGTTAAGCTCAGAAAAATTCAGGTGAGGTTGGACATAGAATGTTCAAGTGTCATTGCATGACAGTGTTACCATCGCAATTTATTTTTTCACGTGCACCATATCATTAAAACAGGAAAGGATGGAGCATGAGGTTGTGCACTCAGAGCAGTGATTTGCTGGAGCTCCATCTGGCAAATCTGGATCTACAAAACTATAATACAGTAGTTTTGCTTGATATTTACATCCTAATAGTCATTGATGTATAGTTTTATAGATACTCGTCGTTGTGTATAAATGAGATTCTTGTGTTCTTGAATTTCATTCACTTGTAATATTGTACTTTACAGTCCAGAGGAGCATTTTAGAAGAACAGTAAGGTTTTAATCGGTGTATGTCATGTGAATGAACCTAGGTTAGTTTTTCTCTTCTGGCAGCACATACACAACCAGCAGATCATCACTTGGGCCCATCCACAGTGTCAAAGCACTTCCAGTCTCTCAAGAGTTAGCAGACATACCTGTCTCTGTCTTGGGATGGTTTTGCATTAAATTTGTTGGATGTTCAAAAAAAAAGCAAACATATATATACCTAAATAGGATTAATTTTGGCTGCACAGTAGCAGATTGTCTGTTCTGTGCTGACCAGAGTTGTGCCTTTCATCAAACCTTGCACAGACAGGGAAGGGGTTTACTGCTATAGCAAAGTCCATGAGTAGAAAGTTGAGGTCCAGAGAATGCTGCACCAGATCGTTTCTGCAGAGTCCAGTTTTGTCCATTTGTGCTTGATAAGGAGGGAGGCAAAGATCCAAAAGCCTTGACTTGTTTAAGAAGGAAACCTCATTTGTGCTTGTGGAAGTGGGGCCGATTGGTTTGCTTAAATACCTGGTGTAAAACAGCTTCAGCCAATGCCAGGCTGAATGGGGCTCTGAGCAACCTGGGCTAGAGGAAGGTGCCCCTGGCAGGGGGCTTGGAATGAGATGATCTTGAAGGCCCCTTCCAACCCATTCTAGGATTCTTCGACAATGGTGCCCCTCCATTTCACATTGCTTTGACAGCCACGTAAATTCTCACGTTATTTTATAATTTATTGAATAACAGGAGTGGATTCAGTGATACCATACGTAGTTTTCACCAAAAATCTCCAAAGCACCATTAAGAGAGAGTACTCAAGTGTTTCCATCTCTGTCACCAATGCAGTTACTTTCTTTTTGTTCTACTTTCCCATGATTGGAGCAGAAGTGAACAATGTGACCTAAACTTTTTTTGCTTAAAGGCTGAGACAGGCCAGACCTGATAAATTTTAGCATGATAGAGAGAGAAAGCTATAACCTGCTGAAACTGGGGGTTATAATTAAAATGTGTAGGCACCCTGAATTACAGCTGTTGTGAGTGTTCCAGTTATCATAATAATTGAAGACCTTTTAATAATTTTATATGTTCTTTTCTAACTTGGCCTTGAGCTTAGGCAGGACTTCAGTTTCAAGATAATTTTCTTGTCCTCAAAAGTTAAATTGCTTTCTTTAATATAAAGCATACAATAAGGAGTGCAATTGAAGAGCTGCATGCCTTCTGAACCTGCTCTTTCAGCATGAGACTCCACTTGTTTGAAGCAGATCTGGAGGAACAAACAGTCTTTTATTATTAGATGATAAATCCCTGATGCCGTATCACTGTTTTGGCTTTCAACCTTATTGAACTTTCAAGAGAAATGCCTCTGTTTATAACATGAACTGCCCAGTAGCATCCAAGTATCTGTCACTGCACTATGGACTTGAATTTTTATGCAGTAAATTGTACTGTGCTGTGCTGTTTGTGGCATGTCTGGTGCTACACAGCTAAAGTCTGGCTCATACGCTGATGAAAAGCTGCAGAATGAGATGTGGGGGTTACCATTTTCATTATAGAATTTTGATTGCAAGTTAGAGCTTCTATTAATGTTTAATTAAGGGAGTTGGCAAATTAAGGTTGGTTCTTCTGAGTGCGTAAGAAATAAAAAATACTATTTTTGCTGAAAGTTATTATTATTCTTAATCTTAATTTACTGAAGTTTGTTGGGCTTTTTTGTAAAACACTGCAAAATGTAAGTAAAGGGGACTTACAAGAAGGCTGGAGAGGGACTTTTCATGAAGGCATTCAGTGATAGGAAAAGGGGGAATGGCCTTTAGCTGAAGGAGGGTAGATTTAGATTTGATATGAGGAAGAAATTCTTGGCTGTGAGGGTGGTGAGGCACTTGAACAGATAGCCCAGAGAGGTTATGGACTCCTCATCCATGGAAGTGTTCAGGGCCAGGCTGGACAGGGCTTGGAGCAACCTGGTCTAGTGGAAGGTGTCCCTGCCCATGGCAGGGGGTTGGAACTGGGTGATCTCTAAGGTCCCTTCCAACCCAAACCGTTTTGTAATTCTGTGATTCTAAGTAATGCTGTTGAGAATATGACCCTGAGTTCAAAAATACCTGTGCTTAAGACAAACCCCGTGTGCTTTAGAAACTACTATTTGCTCCCACATAGAAACCTCTCAGTGGTGATATCTCTCACATTTGACTTTGTTAAATGCAGAAAGTCTCTTGAAAAGGAAAAGCAATTTGCATTTCTCTGTGTGTTTGGCAAATACGTGTTTGACTTTGAATTCACCATTCTCAAGTAGCTTCTCCAGTCTCTAAAAATGGGGAAACTGAGGCAGGGCTCTGAATTTATTTTGCAGGCACCTTAGTTTAGAGGTAGTTGTAGTGAAGCAAAGATAAAAGTTGAATTGCACTGGCTCCTGGATCAGTGTATTAGGCAAGACTGCCTGTGTTTTTTGCTTCCAAATTTCCTTTGAGATACCCAGCACGTCGCTTCAGCAGGAATTTTTGCTTTTGACACAGCACTGGGATATTATGCCAAGAAACATTTTTATAATATTGATATCTTAGCCCACAGCACTGTATTTGTTTAATATTTGGTAAGGTCTCAGCTGCAACAACCAACTACCAAAAAGTTTCTTCTCATGGGATCTTTCTACGGAGTTGTAGCGCATGGTCAAGATCTGGTGTTCTGTAATGCCAAGAAGTGTCTTTAAAAGGCTTTATAAACCATGAGGCTTTAAGTGGTGTTTTCTACTGCAGAGTATCAAATTAATAGTCAACCATAATTTGGTTTTTAAGTTTGTCTGTTGAAAGAGTCCCAATTTGTATAGATAATATATTGTGTGTTCAAGTGAGTGCTCTGCTTTTGTACATTCCCTTCCATTAAGAAGATGAGACCTCGGATAACTCAGAGTTCCAGATAATGTGGAATCAAATATGTTAGTGAGTTGCACTGTAACAAATCCACACAATGACTATTTTATGTTTGAAGTGGAGGTGGTGTTTGGAGTGCCTGTAAATGCCTTGTTGGAAAAATCAATTCTGAGCATCCCCTTTCTCCACATTTTGCTTCATTTTCCCTGAATGTGTTTTGACACTGAAAGTTTCAGTCTCTCCACCTGCAGAGATTTACTCACTTGACTTTTTTGAGCTTACTCCAGAGTTACACCAGGGTGGCTGAAAACAACACATGCTTTTGAAGGGCATGTTAACCCGTGCTTAATTACTTTATAGAATCATATAGTGCTAAGGTTGGAAAAGAACTTTAAGATCATCAAGTCCCACCATCATTCGACTGATAAAACAACGTAAGAAAAGCATGCACAGGAGGCAGATGAAGAAGAAATTGAGCAACATATCTCACTTTTTGCTTCCTCAAGTCATCTAACTAGACCTCAAACTCCATATTTTTGGGAGACTTGCACCATGTAGAGCAGTGCTGGTAGGATTGACAGAGCTTGTTTTATTTGGGGCAGGAAAAAATAAGGCTTCTTGGTACACTCAGAAAGCTCAAGGCACTTGGGGGAAAATATCAATAATCCCCATTTGATAGAGGATGGGAGTCAGGCACGGAGCTGTGTCTTGTCAAGCACCACCGAGCCGGTCACTGCCAGAGCAGGGCCTTCAAATCTCCTTGAAATAGGAAAGTTGATGAGAGAGAGAGATATGGGAGGGCTCTTCCAACCCGCCGGGCCGAGGGAGAGGTTTTATAGAGAGATGTAACGTGTTCCTTAGTTTGATTTATTTTTTCCTTGCTAAGAAGAGTCTGCAGTAGTCCATGTTTGATAGTCTTTGCCCTGGGTGCACCAAGCTTTTGCATTTTCTGAAGGGATATATTGGTGGTATTGTGAAAATGTAACTGTGACCTATTTAGGCGGGTTGGAGTGGGGTACAAATCTCTGCACTAGGAAGAAGTATCATTTTCCAGCTGGGCAGAAAATCGCATTTATTCTGTAATAGAACACAAGAGCTCATTGAACACCGGAGTGGAGTGGCTGAGCCGTCGGCGCTCCACCGGGGGAATGAAGTCTCCGCTTAAATATTCCATCAGATAGCAGAAATCCTGGGAGTCCGAAGAACAGAATTACTGGCTTCAGTAGATGACCAAAAAGTTGTTCTTTTTCTCGGGAGAGACTGCTCGGCTGCAGCAGGGGATTGTGTTCAGGGGAGCTGCAAGATGCTTTCTATATGTGTTCTCCTTGCTAGTTGTCAAGGGCTGAAAATAAAGAGGAAAATATTATATATAAATAACCTGGTCTGGCAGGGAGGTGACATTAGAGATCCCGGCACATTTAAATGAGTCTTTCTCAGAAACAGGAACTTTTGGATCAAAGGTTTCTCAGAAAATTGACTATTTGACCTAAACACTCAGAAGTTGTAGGGGACTACCTGAAATTATAAGAGGTGTTGGTGTTAATGTTGCAGTCAGGATCAGACAGTTTGGAGGAGGAGGTGGGATCTCCTCTTAGATCAGTTGTTTTGGCCAGGAAAAAAGCAGAGGCACACAAGCCTCTCTCCTGGCAAATAACTTGTGCATCCAAAACTACACCTATTTTTGCCAATCCCTCCTTACTAGTCTAATAGGAAATTGCTTCCCTTTATGAACCTAGAATTTGCCACTTTTCTTCAGGAAATACTCAAATATGAAGGATTTTTAAAATTTATTTAAAGAAGCGTCACAAATTCATTCTGTAATAAAAATATTAACATGCAAGACAGTGAATTTGGGCAGTGTCACATCATTAGGTTTGTGCAGGTGCTCTGAGATGCTTCACAGTTGTTAAATTTCACAATGCAAGGTGGGCAAATCTTATCTCGGCCTCGTGCTGGTGACACAGCAGCCAACTTGTTGAATTCCCCTAAGTTATGGAAATATGTAGTGCAGGACCTAAACTCTGTATTACAAGTTTTGACATAACTCCTTTGCAACCAGTGGGGAACATATATTATTTTCTGCCCTTCAAAGCTGCTTTTCTGCAGAGATAACATTGGCAAGGATTGCTCCGAAGATAGGCGCTCACTCAGCGGAGGAACATTGCTGTATTACTCACAAAGATAAGGAGGTATTAAGAACTTCCATGGAGTTCTTACCAAAAATCAATTCTATCTTTTATAGTTCTCCAGAGATAATTCATCCCTCTCCCCATCCTAATCCGCACTGGCGGGGGGATGGAGGCAAGGAGAGGGTTGTGGCACAAAAAGTGGAGGTTACAGTCTCACAGCCCTTTTGTGATTTATTTTGAAATTAAAAATTATGCCTTTTCTAGATGGGCATCAGCCAAAAAGTGGTGGTCATTCCCGAATAATTCATAAGTGAATTGCAGGGAATTAAACTGCTCTGCCTGCCAGGAGAAACCAACAGTTTCATTGGCAGGAGGAACTCGTCTCTCCTAAGGAGAGATGCAAGATCATACTGCAGATGAACAAGGTATCTCCCCTAATCCAAGGGGTGAGAGATGGACTCTCTCCTTCTGACCATATTAAAAATATGTGATTAGCCAGATCACACCTATTCTAAAGCAAAAGGTGAGCTGATGGGTTCAGTATTAGATTTCCAAACTCATCCTATAGTTTGAGTTTTCATCCCTGCCACCAATATTTTGCATGACAGTGACATAAGGAGTTTGTCATTTCTGAGCCCTGTTTGTTTTTATCTCTTTAGGATGAGACTCCTGATTTAGTAACCTGGTCTAGTGGAAGGTGTCCCTGCCCATGGCAAATGGATTGGAACGGGGTGATCTTTAAGGTCCCTTACAACCCAAACCATTCTATGATTCTGTGATTTTGGTTGTCTGTGCAAATTCTTTGCCATCTGTGGGTGAAGAGCCTGTAAAAATATGTGGCCTTGCCCTGAGCAGGTTATCCTGGAATATCTGGTCTTGGTAACAGAAAATTGCCCAAACAGTGGCTTGGCAAAAATCTTAACTCCTGAGCAAGAATGAATTTAGACTTTTATTCTGAATTGAGTATCTTGTGCCTCTAAATACCTGCTATTCTTGAGCAGTCAGAGAGCTTGTTAATCATATGGCTTATGATAAATGACATTTTTTGCCACTCTGTCATTCAGCATGTCTGGTGTATGTCAAGGGTAATATTCTCTTGTGGTGGTGTAGAATATTGACAATGGAAATAATATCTTTACAGTTCCTCAGGTGTCCAGACTAAAATTGTAACTTGTCTTTTCTCCTCCCGGTTCCTTATGCTTTTGACCATCACTGACTATTTTTTTTCCTTTTTAATTTGCAGAAGGCGTAGATACAAGTCCTGACAACACCTTTCCTACTTAGGGGATTAAGAAAGTGTTCTTGTTCTTGCTCGCAGATTTATGGTTAGATTTGTTTCTCCCTGTAAGGCACCTAGATTTTTTAAACAGTTTTCTGTGCAGATAACTGAGTAAATCTTAGATTTTTGTAGGAAGCCTTTAATAGCCAGAGCACAAGATGTTTATCCTGTGGTAGCAGATGTAACTTAGAAACCCATAAAGAATTTGTGGCAAAAGGAAGCAAATAGTTATTGTATTAAAATTCCTAATGCTTTATTTTTCTTGTTACTTCATCCCACAGTTCTGGAGGTCATTTTGGCTGAACTTAATGAGTTCCTGGGTGTACACAGAGCACACCAACCTTATGTGTTTATTTCTCTAGCTCAGAAATAGTAGGGGAGGGGAAGAAGATCCAAAATAAAACAAAAATCTCATGTCTACCAGGGTCTTATTGAGTGCATGAAACAAACTCAGATCTTTTTCTGGATCTGAAGTTCTTTATTAAAGGCTCTTTAGCTCCCTACAAAAGAAGTGGTGGCAGGTCCTTTTCCTGCATTTCAGTGATATTTCTTTTTTGAGAGAGATTTTTAGACATTATCAGAAGTTCTGCTGTCTGTCTGGCAGCTGGGAGCAGTAACAGTTCTTGGTGGGAAAGGAGAGAGGAAAGGGTTTTCCTTTTCCCACTTTATTAGGGAATAATATGGTGTAAAAATAATCATAGGACCCACAAGGATCATTGAAATCCAACTCCTGGAAGAGAGGGAAAGAAAAAAATTAGAAAGTGAATTGAGGAGTGATCTTTGCTGAGTCAAAGATGCCATTCAAGAAAAATAAATAAATCTCCTGCCCCAGCTGGAAAAGGAATCCTCTGTCCTTCTGCAAAGTCAGAGATCTAAATAAGTCTTCTCTGGAACTTTCTCCATCTGCAGCAAGAGGCTCAATTGGTACACAAGTGTCCGTATCTACCCTTGAGGGAAGATGAAGGAAGTCCCATCACACCTGAAACGATTCATAATTCTTCTGAAATACAAAAAGTAAAGTTAGCAACAGAAAGTGCATAGTTATAGTGTGATATACTGACCTTGAATGTTGTGTTTCCATCATGTGTGTTCTGTCAGGTCAGGAGGGCTGATCCCCTGCTGTCTGTCAGGCTGCTGGGGGGAAGGTTTCTCTGCTGCAGCTGTGGGACGCTGCCAGGAGGAGCAGGGTGTTCTCATCCCTGCCTTCTCCTTTCTCCCCCTCTCCTTTGAGCTGGTTAACAATTTGATGAGAATAAATGTTGGGTTTTTTGGGGGAAGAAGGAGAGCAGAATTTTGGCTTGTCCTTCAGCTCTCTGACCTGATCTGCCCTGTGGTTGTACAGCCACTGGATGTTGTGGGACGAATGTGGACGAAGCCAGGGTAACGTGCAAAAACCGTCTAAGAAAGTCTAAACTGTCAGTGCCTCGTGTCCCAAGCTGTTGGTCATTGCAAGCAACTTTGTCCTCTCAGGCATTATATTAGAAGCCAGAAGACCCCAGGAGATCGTAAGCTAATTCGTCTTGGCTGCAATGTGCCAGACGGATACATTCTCGTGGTTTGGCACAGTGACACTGAACTCACTATTTTAAGCAAGAGAATCTGTACCTTAGTGACCAAACTGGGATTGTTCAGCTATTCCTGCAAAGTTATATATCTAAAAGTTAGATATCTAAGCCCCTTCTGAAAGTAATGAATGCTGCATGAGAATATGAGGTGTAATTACTTTTTAATAACTGCTGAGCTACATCACATCTGAGCAGCTTCTTATTTGAGAGTATCCCGAGGCATTTTTTATTTTGCTGGATGTGCATAAGAAATGAAGCCCTGGTAGCTACACCTGGTAGTGACAGGTGTGAGACAGAAAAACTCAGGAGTGAAGAGACTCTCCCTAAATAAGACCTCGAGGACCGAAACTTGCATGATTAAGAATCAGGTGATGGAAAAAAACCAGCAACCAATTGCTGCCCGTGCACAATCTGGCTTGTTTCACATCTCCTTTGACCATGTGTCCACAACATACTCTCTTGTCCCATCTTCCTTATTTTGCCCTGGAAATGCTTGTTCAGTGTAACTCCTCTTTATCTCCTCTTGCTGCTCTTGCTGCTTCTTACAAGTCCCGTGTTTCATGGGTTTCCTGGGTCTTTTGTCCTTCACCCTTTGCTTCAGTGTGACCTCTGGCCACCAGTCACCTTCATGAAAGTATTCTGAGTGACATGAAAAGCAAATGTATTCTTCCCTCATCTAGTTTTCATCTTCCTGATAAATGCTAGACAAAAAGGCAGCTCAGAATGAGGGACAGGAAAAAGAAAAATTACCTGTAATACAGAAAAGCTAATATTTTCTGGATTTTGGAAGGGGCAGCTAATGAATTGTAGAATCACAGAATCATAGAATGGTTTGGGTTGGAAGGGACCTTAAAGATTATCTGCTTCCAATTCCCCTGCCTGGGTAGGGACATCTGCAATGAAGACATGGAAAAAAGAAAAATAAAAGGTTGAAAGAAAACAGAAAATCAAAACAAAAAGAAAAAAGAAAGAAATGTGAAAGAAAACCTTCAGTGTTGTTTCTGTTCCTGATTTATCCAGGCAGTAGTGGAGGTGCAAGGCACTATTTACAAACCTAATTCAGGTCCCTGTGGATTTACAGTTTGAATTGGGAGGTGAGAGAAATTAACGGGGAAAACCTCCCTCATTTCGATTTATTTCTCTGTAATACACCCCAGAGCATAGTTCATTCTGGGGAGAGGAGGGAACAACAGCTTGTTGCTGCTAATAGGATTTGGGTCAATTCATAGGTAAATCTCTCCTCCACCCCACAAAACTCATGAAGACAGAGCTGGTAAAGGTCTGAGTTCATGCAACAGGGGTTTAGAAAGAGTGGCAACAAGAGGGGGTCAGATGGATAGCTGCAGATTAACTTTGCATCAGCTGTAAAGGCTTTTGTGACATTTCATGACTAAGAAAAGTTTGGTATCTTGAGATAAAAAACTTCTCTTTAGTTTTTGGCTTTTGGGGGGTCTTTGGTGATCATCAGCTGGTGTCCCTGAGAATTTCAGTCCCCTCTCAGCAGGGAGTCACCTGGTAATGAACCAGCCTGAGGTCTGTGGAAGGGGAAGGTTGCATGGGAATCCGACAACTCTGAAATGAAGGATTTCTATTTTTTTTATGTCCGAGTGGAAAGTTAATGTTACGTAAAACTGCCTACTGAAGCCAATTCCTTCACTAAATTTGTTTTCATTTGGTTTTTTTCATTCCTCTCGTGTGTCCAAGAAAAATATTACTTAGCTAAAAGGCATTAATTCAGTTTAAATCACAGTATCAAGCCCTCTGAGTCTAGGACCGATGTGTGCACAAGTTTCTTGTTTAAATTAAGCCTGCTGGTTGCTGGCTTGTTTGTTTCTCCTGCTTTCCCTATATTCAGGATGCTTATCTCATAAACTGCTAGAAAAATAATGGCAGAGGACCATTTTTTTTAAATAATTTAGATGGAAAAGCAATATCCTGCAGAATTTCTATAATCAAGTATGTCCCCAATCCAGCTTGTGCGGAAACTTGATCAAAATAGATCCTTAACTCCTAGTTAAGCCTAATTAGGATACAGAGTTCAATACAAAGCCACTTCTCATTTTCCTTTGCAATCAGCACATCATTTTTGTTTTGTTAAAGGACACAAGTTGCATCCCTTAGATAAACAGCTTGGCCAAGCTCTGCAAAACAATTAGTGCATCTTTCACATGGTCTAAACTTGATTGAATAATTACTCAAATAATGGTCAGTAATGGAATACATAGGGTTATCTCCTGGCTAATCCTCAGGTAATGGAGTTGGTGTATCTCTGATTTTTCTCTTAGCTGTTCCCAGTGAACAGGAGACTGAGACAAAAGTGATTATGGGAAGTGCAGGGAGTCACTGGAGGCCAGCAAGGAAAAGGAGGCCTTATCTTAAGCAATTAATCAAGAAAACTCCTATTGTGGGACAATTATTCAAAGCTAATTCTAAAATAGCTTTAGAGCCTGAGGTCCTGAAGGTTTTTTAGTGTAGGTTTTTGTTTTTGTTTTGTTTTAAGAATTTTGCCAAGGTCATTGGGAGCACTGGGGCAGCCCTTGCATCCAAATGAAGGCTGTGGCATAAGAAGAGAGTTGAGTGTAAAGTCCATCTTCACACAACATGGGCCTTGAGGTCCTTATCAAAGCTGTAAAGTTTTATTTTAAAAAATGGGTTGGAATGTTTCTAAACAGAGACAATATTCTACAACTTGCTTAATGCTTCCCCCAAAAAAATCACAGAATCACAGAATAGTTTGTGTTGGAAGGGACCTTGAAGACCATCTGGTTCCACCCCCTGCCCTGGGCAGGGACACCTTCCACTAGACTAGGTTGTTCCAAGCCCCATCCAACCCGACCTTGAACAGTTCCAGGGATGGGGCAGCCACAGCTTCTCTGGACAACCTGTGCCAGGGCCTCACCACCCTCAGAGTAAAGAATTTCTGCCTTATATCCATTTTAAACCTACTCTTGTCAGTTTGAAGTCATTCCCCCTTGTTCTGTCACTCTTGTAAAAGAGGATCCTCTCTTTGCATCCATTGCAAGTGATGCCAAGAGAAGTATTATCACAGTCGTTTCACCTCCATGCTTAGCTCTCCTAGTCTACCTGCAGGACTCTGATATCTTTGAATCTCTCTTTTATTCTTTTTCTCTGATGTTTTTCACTGCTTTTTGCTTAACTTAATTGTCCTACAAAGCAGGACAGCAACCGCAGACATGTAGGATTGTTTTGTGGCTGTGGCTTTGCAAAAGACCACGAGGTCTTTCCAGTTGTGTCCCCAAAAAGCCCTTGTACAGTGAGAGCATCTAACAGACTCCCGTGCTCTGTTTTCAGCCTCTGAGCTCCCTTGGAAGTGAGATTTATTTGAAGATGTTGCCGTGATCCATGAGGTCCTACGGAAAGAAGCAATACATTTTAGCAGCTGTCCCTGAAAAATTATAAGGTCACCGGAAAAAAAAAGCAGAGGTCTTAAATTGGATGCGGTTTAAATTTTCCTACGGCCTCCTGAATCGGGCTCCTTGCCGGGGAGGGAAGCTGCCCACAGAGTTATTGCTCAGCACAGTCACCCCGTGCTCCCGGAGCAGTGTTTTCCCAGCGGTGCTGACAGAGGCATTTTGAACCCACCGTGGCGTCTCAGGCCGTCCGATCCGGTGTCAGATGGCTCTGCGGTGCCGCCAGGGAAGTGCTGCTGGATGGGTGATTGCGCTGCCCTGATTAGTTTTCTCTCTGCCTATGGGCACCTTTAGCAGGGCAGGGTTACAGGGAGAGCCAGGACACACATGTGCTCCTGTACGGAATGAAGCAGAGAGGCTGGAAGACAAAGAGAGTCACTAATTGGATTTGTAGCTGTAAGAAAAAAAGCTCTTAAAGTAAACATTTTCCTCTCTTTAAGTCTTTCCTTGGCTTCTTTCGTGAAGGCCGCCTGAAAGTATCTGTTTCGGGGGTGAACCCTTCCCAGCAAATTTAATTTTGAGGCTTGTCAAGCTTTATTAAAACCTTATCATCAGTGATTTCCTTCTCTGCTAGATCAAGAAGATTGTATTTGTTATGGGATTCGTATTGTAGCTCAAAATTCATCCCAGCAAATGGGGGGTTTCATATATGTACCAGGACACACCAGTGCCAGTTCAGACTGCTGAAATCCTGGGATGTGCATGGTCAGCACATCCTCCTGAAGGCTTTGGATGCTGTTCAGAGTTGTCAGCTGGAACTGCATTTGCGTTTCTGAGTTAGCAACTGTTAGAATAAACTTGTGGCTCTGCATGGCAAAAGCATTCCTAATTGCTGCTGGTATCCCTTAAACAAATGAGTGGATAGACCCATTCCCAAGAGCTGGAATATTTGGTAAACACTTCTGGGTATGGTGTGGCTACATATAGTAAGACACAGGATGAACACATCTTTTTTTTACTTGGAAAATGTAGTCATTCCATTCTCATTAGTGAGAGCTTCCAGTCAATGGCAGGGCTTTTTTATTTATTTTTTAATTAAATTTCAGTGACTTGTCTTAATTCGTGCCACTGTGCATTGATGCCACAGATCAGAGTGTCACCCAGCAGAGTATACAGACTTTTTCCAATTTAGTCTAGAGCACAAGACCTAGTTGACTTTTTTATACCTCTCAATTCATCTATTGGAAATAAACTTCTCACTCCCCAAATCTTCCTCATTTTTATAAAATATTTTTTTACTTGCTGGGAAAATACTTAATTTCCCTTTCTTACCCAATGAAGACAAAAAGATGGATGGAAGAGTCTCTAAATACGTGCCCTGTTTGTTGGGTT